CCGTATACCTGATAAATTAATCTATTGATATACACACCAGTGTGCTCCCCAAATGAAACAGGCATTTCCCTTCCCCTTTAGGCAACTCCTTTCACCTCAAAGTTCTCTCCTAGTCCTTGATATTAATCATTTCTCATATAAAAAAATATTTTGAGGATGACCAAATAGATTAGATTAACTTTGTCTTTCTGCCCAGAAAACCAGTTACCCTATCAAGTGACATGGCCTGACTTCCCATTTTCCCTTGGTTAACCAATACAGCCTTTTATTTAATTCCCTGTTATCTTCATAACTTCATCATTCTTCCCTTCAAAATACATTCTGAAGTATCTATTGCATCTGACTGCATTTGGAACCATTGCAAATGTTTCCCTCCTCTTAAATGAAGGTGTCTGCTATTCTTCAGTCATACAGAAAAATCGTCATCTTGATATATTTATTGGTAGTTGAAAAAGTCTTTCCTATTGTAACTAGAGTAAACATGTCAGTAATCTTAAATCTCATGCCTGGAGATTATCTTGTTGTCCTGGCTTTGTGAACACATTAGCTGAAGAAGCAGCACTACATCTTCAACAAAGCATACTATATACCAAAAATGCTTCACAGAGATAAGTAAACGACTCATCTGCAAAGTTAGAAAAAAGCACAGAGAAAAAAAAAAAAAAAAAAAAGCACCGCAGGCAAAGGGGTATGTATTTTCAAATGAGGTTTAACAATAGAGAACTAATAAATTGGAGAAACGTAGGAAAAATGTTCCAAAATGCTGCAGAAGACAGAAAGAAGAATCCAGCCTAAAGCTCTCTTCCAGTTAACAACCCATCTCCCAGAGTTATTTTTAATAACACCATAACCATATTATTTTTATGGTGCAATATCTGAAGGTCTTGTCAGTCCTAAAACGATGTTCCAGAACTTCCGGGTGTGAGAACAAAGGCCTTGAGCCTGAGAGAACCAAGATTTTACCTTCCCACTTCAGGACTAGGATGATGGGCTGCATCTGGCATGCCAGAAAAGACAGAAGAGCATATTTATTCTACAGCCTGCAAAGCACAGGAGACGAGTACTGGCCAGTGACTACATGTTTTTCATATGGAAAATGCACAATGAGTATTAATATAAATCACAGTATGGTGACATTCTTTTATTAGCTGTAATGGCTATTAAAATCAGTAGTTAAGCAGATACTTCTCTTCCTGCAAAAGACAAAGAAACCAAAGAATTTTATTACTAGAGTGAAAACCTCCATCAGTTTGCTCCCATGCAGATTCAACAGTTCCTGGTGCTGAAATCAGCTATCTGAATCCAAGAATTAAAGGTGTACATCAAAAAGATATCTGGCTTGACCTGTCTTAGTAGAAGTCTTTTATGTTTTACAAAACATCAAAATATTAATTGAAAAATCATATAATATCTAATACTGAACAGTAGGGACCAAACCATAATCTCTTGGCTACTGATCTAAGTTTATAGCTGGGAAGGACAGAAGGATCTGTTGTCAGCTAAACTTTTGCAATAAAGACATCAAACCTCTCAGTTTCTCTTGAGTCCTCAAACATACTGGCTTAAATAATTTGGAAATTATTGTTAAAATAATCAAAATGTATATAGTCATGAGCTATGCAGGCATACAAATTACATGACTCCTTAACTATTATTTATGGTATTATCTTCAATTCACAATTTCCTGGTATTTAAATAACTCTTAATCTAAAGAAGTTGGCAGGAGGGGGAGGCAGACAACTTCTTTGTTTGTCATCGGCATTTTAACCAAGAACTTGCTTTGCACTGTCAATAATGGAATTGCATTTACTGAGAGTGCAACAGCTGACTCTCTGGTAGTATGCAAAGGTGCACTTCATGTTGACAAAGCCTTGTCACAATGTACCAAAGCTGTGTCACTTTCAGGTTACAAATTATCTTCCTGAGCCTTTGTTGTGTTGTAATGTTACTCTAAAACTAAGCAAATGTTTTGTTCCCTTGGTTATCCCTTTTCAGAGCAACTCAGAAAATTAATGCCTCTTATATAACCAGTTCACACCACAGCAGTAAGAAGAGTTGCCACCTCTATGTAGGTAAAACCATTCTGAACCTCCACCCTCATTACAAACAGGCATGTGCCTTCTTTCAACTTGATATTTAGGGCCTGTAATTCAGTCCTTTAGTCTATAAATAGTATATAGAGTTCAATACTGATCAAGAAGAGAAGTCAGCTGTATCTATAAATGGATTCTTGAGGAAAAAAAATCAGACTACTCTCATGCCCTGTAAAAATATGTCTGTAAATACATTTAAAAGCATAAGTCAACAGAATTTGGCAAGTCATTTCCATGTTAAATCTTTCTTTCAGGCCAGAGCTGCAAACTCTGAAACTGTGTAAGGACTGATTAACAGCTAAGAAGTCTCCTGTCCACATTTTTTTTTTTTTTACTTTTTATTCATGATCAGCATTAAGACACTCACACCAGAATTTGACAGTATCATTTTCTTTTCTTTTGCTTCTGCAAATTTGCTTTTTTAATATCCAGTAAAAGAGATAGAGTATAAAAATTGTAAACTAGCAAAACTGTCACTTATAAATTCGAATCTACACAACCTGGAAGGAAAGACACTTTTAATGAAGGAATGCATAAAGACTGCTGAGAGTCCTTATTAAACTTAACCATGAAGATGCAGTCACAGCTCCTATCAGCGAGCTAACACTGTCAGTCATCACTGTCTCCAGTTCAGCACTACATAAATAAGGTTTGTTGCTTGAAGTGTTAAAGCTACTATATTAAATCCTGCTCCCTGAACTCACTTTAGGACTCACTGATTTCAACTCATTTCTTACAGAACATGAGGACAAAGCATCAAATGAGGATATGAACTAGAAACATCTCCACATGTTGTGCATTGAATTAACAATGATTACCTGGAACTGAAACTGTTCTTGAAAACATTTAATGTTCTTATTTCTGCCCTTAAAAAAAAAAAAAAAAAAAAAAAAAAGCAGAGAAAACAACCTTCCATTTTCCCATCTTCTCACAGAGCCAAGAAGCACCTGCAGATACCACAGAGAAAAAATAATTGTGATTGCTGTTGTAATTGCACCTTAATCTACTGTCCTAGTCTCTATCACCTAGAAACCTCCTGTTTCTTCCTCTCTTCCCCATGTCTCAGAGCAAAAACTATTCAGAGCACCTGCCAATCTCTTAGCAGAAATAAGAATCTACCACTATCATAGTATATAATTTATGACATCCTCTTCCTACACCAAGATCAAGATGCAAAGAGCACTTGATCGCACAGGAGGAAAAAAACACCATGCTGTGACCTCAGTGGTATGCTTCCTCCTATAGCTATTTGCAACTTTTCTCCAAATTGCATTACTTTACCCACAATACTCTTCTAAACAAGGAATAATAAACAACACATTAACACATAAGCTGGCATGAATAACAAGTTTTTTTATTGAATGAGCAATGATGATGGCATTCAACCTTAGCTGTTTTAGAGTTGAAATTTAAGAGGCCCTTTATGCATTCTTTCTGGAATGAGACATATTATGCACACAATAATACACAAATGATCTATAGAGATCTTGATTATATTCTGAAAGAAAATTTTCAGTTGCAGGAAGGTAAACAAATTTTCTTATTCCTTCTTTGTCAGGGCTGCAGCAGTATGGCTAACTTACACTTTCGTATTATTTATGCAAACAGCACCATAGCTACTAATGTACTTGTTAAAAATAAAGACAATAGCTGGTTAGAAAAAAGATTATGTCCTCTTCCATGGTGGTGAAGTAGCTGTCACAATCAGTCCAAAGACATTGCAAGCCACAGCTAGCCTGCTGTTTGCTTTAAAATTTAAGCTGCAGTAACAAATTACCTTGATAGAAACACTAGCAAGTAGATGTTATGCTTCAGTAACCTAAAAATTGAAAAGATGGAGTATCCTCATTTCTTCACATTAAGCGCTTACATATTAGAAAGTTTGTCTCCCTGAGAAGCTCGACCATACATCCAAACGTAGGGGGAGTCTAGAGCACTATTAGGGGCCCTTTTAGGGCACCCAAAGTAAGGCCTTGCTAACAACCCTCACGCTCGACCTGCCCACCTGCGTTATATCTCTGGGAGAAACAGCAGACACCGGTGGCTGCACGAAACCCCTCAGCACCACCCCCGCCCCGCACAGCCCCAGCCAGCCGTCTCGGTAAGGGACAAGCCGAGCCCCTAGGCAGCCAGGGCGCCCCGACCCGTCCCAGCCGAGGCGCACCTGGCGGGCAGCGCAGGAACGCGGCCGTTAACTGCAGGCGCTCGCCCTCGAGCCCTTCGCTCTGCAGAGCCGGCTGCCCGCCCCA